TACCGCTTGAACATCAAAACCTGCCGCATCTATCGGAGATCGCTGCGCAATGCCCACGCGCTGCAGATGCATAGTTACTACGGAAAAGGGAGCACTGGTTGACACAGACTGTAGAACGTTTATAACTTTGGAGAATTTCGTAGAGACTGAATGAGGATTAACGAGGCGACAATTTTCTGATTTATCAAAAATTTGACATACTTCTTTGCAAACTATTATCTTTGCTAATTCAGAGCCGCATCCGCCTAAATATGAAGATGTGCGAGTTCTAAACTCTGGATCGTCGCTTATGTGCGAAGTGGAGTGGAGAGCACCCGCTTTGACCAATGGGAGAATTAGTCGTTACTATGTGAGTGAGGCTTTTTGGCTTCAAAATATCGTCAAAATAATATATATTTTTTGTTTAGGTAAGAGTACAAGGAGCTGTTCGTCGAATGAGACCAGGAGGTCCTGTAGTTGCAGACGATTTTCCCCCACCAACTGATGAGGAAAAATGTGCTAACTGGGATGAGAGGGAAGAGGCCTCACATGGCATTAACCCAATTGAGTTCACTACGGAGTTTCTGTCGTGCAAGTATGGTCCTCTGAAGGTATATATTTTCAGACTTGCCTTTTTGCCAGATTTTTGTTTTTTTAATCTTTTATTTATCATGAGTTTCCAGCCCAATCGAAATTACACAATCACCGTATGGGCGGAAAATTCAGCTGGTCGTTCATCTCCGTTAGTGTTCCCCAAAAATTGCATAACAAATTATGCTCAACCCGATGTAGTAAGTCAAAGACATTTTCGTTGTCTTGCTTTTCCCAAATTTCTATTTTCAGGTCGAAAAACCAATAACATCAACGAATTCCAATCATACGTCATTCAACTTAGCTTTCAACTCAAAACCGGATGACACGAATGGTCCCATTAGGTAGGTCGCACGCTTTTTGCGTATCCCTGATATTATATGTGCGAATTTAGTTGCTATTATATCGGCATCGTGCCATTGTTGAGGAACGTTTCGTTAGAGACGCTTCCACCTCCACAAGAAATTGTTATGGATACGGTATCAAAGGTTGGTTCTCTTTTTAAGATTTTTCCCTCGGTATTTTTGTCTGTTTTTTTTTTCTGAGTTCCAAGTTATATAAGAGCTGCCCCAGGACGAA